AAATATCGAAATACACGTGGGTTTCAAATACCGATATCAACACTGAATAAAATATAGAAATACACGTGGGATTCAAATATCAATATCAACACTGAATAAAATATAGAAATACACATGAGATTCAAATATCAATATCAACACTGAATAAAATATAGAAATACACGTGGGATTCAAATATCAATATCAACACTGAATAAAATATAGAAATACACGTGGGATTCAAATACCAATATCAATACTGAATAAAATATAGAAATACACGTGGGATTATATATGATTTATGAACTCATGAAACTAAGAAATAATTCCAATAATCTCAAAATAGATCCTGGAAACCAAAATTAGATTCAGTAGAAGTAAGCTAAGAGTTTGTTTGTATAAAAATCCTTCCTTCATACTTACCCTTAAACTTGCCTCAATAAACTTACCCTTAAGCTTGCCTCAATAAACTTACCCTTAAGCTTGTCTCAATATACTTACCCTTAAGCTTGCCTCAATATACTTACCCTTAAGCTTGCCTCAATATACTTACTCTTAAGCTTGCCTCAATAAACTTACCCTTGAGATTGCCTCAATATACTTACCCTTAAGCTTGCCTCAATAAACTTACCCTTGAGATTGCCTCAATATACTTACCCTTAAGCTTGCCTCAATAAACTTACCCCTAAGCTTGCCTCAATAAACTTACCCTTAAGCTTGCCTCAATATACTTACTCTTAGACTTTCCTCAATAAACTTACCCTTAAGCTTGCCTCAATAAACTTACCCTTAAGCTTGCCTCAATATACTTACCCTTAAGCTTGCCTCAATAAACTTACCCTTAAGCTTGCCTCAATAAACTTACCCTTAAGCTTGCCTCAATATACTTACCCTTAAGCTTGCCTCAATATACTTACTCTTAAACTTGCCTCAATAAACTTACCCTTAAGCTTGCCTCAATAAACTTACCCTTAAGCTTGCCTCAATATACTTACCCTTAAGCTTGCCTCAATATACTTACCTTTAAGCTTGCCTCAATATACTTACTCTTAAGCTTGCCTCAATAAACTTACCCTTAAGCATTTGAAATTATTCATTAACGGTTTCTGTCTCTTCTTTATTAATCAAATTAATAACCACTTCATAACCAGTTCTTCTAGAATCTAAATGGCGTGTAAAGTTAATTCGAATAAAAATAAATGATAACAATAAATTATTAGTGTTAAATATATAATATTGTGTTACTAATTCTTGCCTTGATTCTGATAACAATAAATTATTAGTGTTAGACATATAATATTGTGTTACTAATTCTTGCATTGATTCTGACAACAGTAAATTGTTAGTGTTAAATATATAATATTGTGTCACTAATTCTTGCCTTGATTCTGATAACAATAAATTATTAGTGTTAAACATATAATATTGTGTTACTAATTATTGCCTTGATTCTGATAACAATAAATTGTTAGTGTTAGATATATATATATATATAATATTGTGTTACTAATTCTTGCCTTGATTCTGATTTCTGAATGACTGACATGAAACGGATAAAAGAATACACATCACCAACTCAACCTGGCTCACACCATGACAGCTATCGTTCATGTAATGTAATTTCACAATATAAATAGCGTCTCAACCAGTACGTCAGTCGTATCCCAGTCGGCCCGATGAGTTCTGGTATTAGGTGAAAGGCTTCGTAGGCATTGGCTATGGCCGATATAATGTGTTTGACGTATTAGTACTGAGCCTAATTTATTTTCAGAATTACCGGAATCATCTAACGGTTTCATGAGCTCATCAATTATACATATAATCCCACGCGTATTTCTATATTTTATTCAGTATTGCTACTGGTATTTTGAACTTTAAGGGCATTTCATGAGTTCACGGATTCAATAACTAGGTCAGAGACCCCTAATTTTCAGGTATAGCTAACCCTAAGTTTGAACTGTCGACCATATAGAAGGTAACTAATTCTTAACAACTAACACCATAAGATTCTCCGAGCTATGAACATGATAATGGAATTATCTGTCACTCTTATAATGCTTCCACAGCTGAAAGTGCGGGTTTATTTTTTAGCGACATCGTTCTGTTACATGACCTTAGACCTCTTCGATTTGCAGACCAGCGTCATAACCACTAGGCCACACGCATAACCTATACAGTAGGTGAATATTTGAAATGAAGAAGCGTAACGTCGATAGTGAAAGTAGCTTGTGGCGATTTGCAATTTGCACCCACCACACGAGTTAAATTGTCGTATCATCGTTCACTAATAAATTTGTGACACACATATTACACAATTTTAAGTGTCATTCTTAGGCCACCTGTAAATTGGCAGCCGCGAGTTTGACGATGACTCAAACGATGGAGAAATATCTGCATATATCCACCCACTTAGCACTTTTCCAGGTTGAAAACATGTCACGTACAATCTAACATCTTGAAATGTTTCAAAATTCTTGTTTAGGCTTAGTAATCTCACTAGTTGAATTAGGCCAATACGGTCGTGCGTGAGGGGTTTATTATTAAAATGTGTTTTCCTTGATGTGAAACGGTAGGAAAATGAGAAATAAATAATAGCCTTGTAACAATACCCCCAAAATTATAATGAATTTCGTAATAATATTCAAATTCAAGGTTATGTTTAGAGTAATTTGACAAATTAATAAAATATATTAAAAAAATGCCTTGATTTTTTTTACTAACTAAATATGAGCCTTATGTTATTTTTACGCCCGGAATGGCCAGGAAGTTAGGGCGCTTGAGTCGCAATCTGAGGGTCGCGGGTTCGAATCCACGTCCCACCAAACATGCTTGCCCTTTCAGCCTTGGGGGCGTTATAATGTAACGGTCAATCCCACTATTCGTTGGTAAAAGAGTAGCCCAAGAATTGGCGGTGGGTGGTGATGACTAGCTGCTTTCCCTCTTGTCTTACACTGCTAAATTAGGAATGGCTAGCGCAGATAGCCCTCGCGTAGCTTTGCGCGAAATTTCAAACAAACCAAACCTTATGTTATTCGCTTACTGAATTATTTGGTAATTAATTTCAAGATTAACTTCTATAAGAATCTCCCCCTCCCGACTAATGGCCAAATTATCGACGTGATTAAGACATAATGGTGTTAATACACCTACATATAAGCACTTAAAATTATCCATTAACGGTTTCCATAAAATCATATTATTGAATGAATAATTTATCAGTCTAATTAGTCCTAAATCCTTGGTTAGATGTTTTTATTTTTATTTTGAGTAACTTACCTTAACATATTGGCAATGATGTATGCAAAATAATAGCCAATAATTAGTTTAATACATTCTACTGATGATTAAGCTTTTTACGAAGTTACTTGCAGTAAATAAACATATAAATCACGAATCTTGTGACTATCTTGTAACATAGTAATTCTCATGAGCTAGACAACAAGGAAAAAACTATATATACAATATAGTAATTTTCATGGGACTATAGACAACAATGAAGATCTATACAATAATGTAGTAATTTAAATGAGCTAGACAACAATGAAGAACTACACATATAATACAACAATATTCATGATATAATAGACAATAGTTGAGAACTATTATATAATAATGTAGTAATTTAAATGAGCTAGATAACTATGAAGAACTACACATATAATACAACAATATTCATGATATAATAGACAATAGTTGAGAACTATTATATAATAATGTAGTAATTTAAATGAACTAGACAACAATGAAGAACTACACATATAATACGACAATATTCAGGAGATAATAAACAATAGTTGAGAACTATTATATAATAATGTAGTAATTTAAATGAACTAGACAACAATGTAGTAATTTTTTCAATTGATTCTACACTTCTTGTCGATTTTCAACAACTTCTTAAATATACAAAAAAGAAATCTATAACTAAAATAATATTTATATTTATCCAACTTTATGAAATATCTTATAATGACAATATTTACTTGAGAAATACTACACAAATGTAGTTGGAAGGACTATCAAGCTTACGAGTTCGAATTTTTAAACGAGACAACTGGTTAGTTTGGTTAGATATATATCTTCAGTACATGATTTCTTGCTCGTTTCAGGGTGATCAGCATATTTAGGATCGTGGCACAAAAACTCGTCTTACCTTCCATTAGCGTAGAATTATTTTTTAACGAATTTTCCTCTTAAATCTATCGACATCGCTGTAGAATTTTCCTCTTAAGTCTACTGACATTACTGTAAAATGTTCCACTTAAGTCTACTGATACCGTTGCAGAATGTTCCTCTTACATCTATCGACATCACTGTAGAAGTTTTTTACTGAAGTCTATTGGCATCTATTAACATCGCTGTATCTTAAATCTGTTGCCATCACTGTAGAATTTTGTCACTAAAGTCTATTGGTATCTATTAGCATCGCTGTATCTTAAGTCTGTTGCCATCACTGTAGAATTTTGTCACTAAAGTCTATTGGTATCTATTAGCATCGCTGTATCTTAAGTCTGTTGTCATCATTGTATAATTTTTTCACTAAACTCTGCTACATCGCTAAAGTTTAAGAGGAAAATGTTGTCGAAATTGGTTACGAAAATATAATCTCCAACACGATGAAAGATGAGAGTAACTATAGTATGCTATATTTTTCATATACATGTTGCCCCCCAGTGGCTCAGCGGTATGTCTGCGGACTTACAACGCTAGAAACCGGGTTTCGATACCCGTGGTGGGCAGAGCACAGATAGCCCTTGTGTAGCTTTGTGCATAATTAAAAACAAAAACAAAAAACAAACATATACATGTTGCCCCCCAGTGGCTCAGCGGTATGTCTGCGGACTTACAACGCTAGAAACCAGGTTTCGATACCCGTAGTGGGCAGAGCACAGATAACCCTTGTGTAGCTTTGTGCATAATTAAAAACAAAAACAAAAAAACAAACATATACATGTTGCCCCCCCAGTGGCTCAGCGGTATGTCTGCGGATTTACAACGCTAGAAACCGGGTTTCGATATCCGTGGTGGGCAGAGCACAGATAGCCCTTGTGTAGCTTTGTGCATAATTAAAAACAAATAAAAAAAAACATACACATGTTTGTTTTATGGTAAAACTGCACAGCGGGCTGCCTGCAACCTGTACACCGAGTAAAAACATAACATCTTATTTTATGGTGCTTATGTTCAGTGTCTTCAAACTTTATGTCACTTTGTAACTTGCCAGAAAAATTACACGATTCAACTGTCGTTGGAGAAAATAAAATGATGAAGAGATAACAACTTGAAGCGATCTTTCTTAGCAGATTGATCGGTGTAATTGATTATGAGACCTAAATAGGCTTAACTAAACTGTTATTAATTTTTGTAAGCCTTAAATTATAACGCATATTATTTACAATTGTGGTCCTCCGAAGCGAATGTGGTAAGTCTACGGAAACAACAAGAACAACAACAACAACAACGAAACAAAACAAGCACGTACTTACACATTATTAGTGTGTTGTGTTTTACCTATCGTTTGTTCTTTGGTATTTTATCAATAGACTCTGATCATATAATAACATCTCTTGACCGATTTGAGATCTAATTACAGTTTTGGACTCAGGAGGTCAAACCTTTTCGATTGATGTATTTTTGATCATGCCCAAGATCCCAAAGATTGATTTACTGTAATCCTGCCTAAAATAATTTCAATTTTAGGGTAGGCTAGTAGAGGTCCTGATGAGTAATGAAATCGAATCGGGTATACGCGCGCCCAACGCTTGGTATTACTGGCGCACAAAAAAATATAGCTAATAAAAAGGTTTTGTTTTTTGTTTGAATTTATGCACAAAGCTACACAATGGGCTATCTGTGCTCTGCCCACCACGGGTGTCGAAACTCGGATTCTAGCGTTGTAGCTCCGTAGACATACTGCTGTGCCACTGGGGGGGAGGGGGGGCTACTGTAGGCCTCCTTCGGCCAGGTTTGACCATGGATAAGCAGATCGCAAGGATCGAACCTGAATTTTAATGTTATAAATCCTCAGTTTGAAAGTAATATAATGTAATGTCTATCATCACTGAAAGTTAATACAGGTTAAAAGTTCAACTTTAGAGAGTAATTCGGTTAAGATTATTCTATTGGATTAATTATTTTCATGTTTTACAACTGGATTGTTTGTTTGTTTGTTTTTAATTATGCACAAAGCTACACAAGGGCTATCTGTGCTCTGCCCACCACGGGTATCGAAACCCGGTTTCTAGCGTTGTAAGTCCGCAGACATACCGCTGTGCCACTGGGGGGCTTTACAACTGGATTCTTTCTCTAACAGCGCAACGAAAATGTGGTATTACTTACAGTTTGTTTGTTTTGAATTTCGCGCAAAGCTACACGAGGGCTATCTGCACTAGCCGTCCCTAATTTAGCAGTGTAAGACTAGAGAGAAGGCAGCTAGTCATCACCACCCACCGCCAACTATTGGGCTACTATTTTACCAACGAATACTGGGATTGACCGTCACATTATAACGCCCCAACGGATCAAAGGGCGAGCATGTTTGGTGGGACGTGGATTCAAACTCGCGACCCGCAGATTGCGTAACATTTGTAATAAATCATTCTGACTAAAGAATCCAAAGAAGACAAATTAGGAGAAACGTGGTAAAAATATCCACAGTTTACGTTATTTTTGTTACAGAAGTTAAGCCTTTCAATTTCTAATGTTTTAACATTTATACTGTAACTATTGCAACCTAAAGCTTTGTTCTTCTGGGCTGTATATATTTGTAACACTAGGATAGTGGACATTGCTATAGGCGTGCCTTTGAGAATGACTCCATAAGAATGTAAACGTATGAACAAGAAACACAAGCCATACACATTTGAAGTCACTTGATCCACAGTCCTCATGGACAAAACGAAAAAGAAATGTAAAATTTTTCTAGTGGTCGATGCGATGGCGAAGCCTCAAAGTGGATTTCTAGAAGGGACTTTTATGGCTTTAGGAGCTTACGACGAATGTGTGAACATAAAAGTTCTAAACAGATACGGAGATGAAGAAGAGTTTCGAGGAAAATACTGTCTTATTGAAGGAAAAGTTCATCTTCCTAAGAAACCGAAAAGAGTTTCAGCTAAGACCAAAGCTCTAAACAGCTCTATGTTTCAAAGTGACGTAAGTAATAGTAATTAACTATGAAGGAGATCTGACAACAACAACAACAACCTAAGTTAATCATGATCTGATGTAAGATGGCTTTACTGCAAATGGATATTCAAATCATTTCAATTACATTTTCTTTCATTTTTGTTGACGAGATTTTTCGTATAATATTATACCTCTCCAAGTGGTCTCTTCCACAATATGAAGCTCAATCCTTCATTCGAGTCATCACTTGTGATGGATTTATACCGGTTTCGTGGAGTTCCATCCCTCATTAATAACCTTAGACAGTAACAAAATTAAAAAAACAAAAACAGACTATAGTTCACCCGAACTCAGTGATAAACTGGGAATAGAATGATAGCTTGGGCTTCATAATTGATTTTATTATCATAAGCAACTTGTCTGCTGAATTATTAAGAATAATTAATAAGTAGCAACAATGTTACATATTCTTCAAATCCTATCTAAATACAACTTCACTCTGGTTGTCAGTAATAATTCA